GAAAGGAAGCCTGAACAGACTGTTTTCAATAAGAGAGAATCTAAAACACATCTGTGAAAATATGGTCAATAAAGAAAAAAAATTCTTAATATAAAAGTAATCATCTCCCTTTTTTCATTTTACAGGTGACAAGAAAGAGGATTAAGAAGCTAAGGGCTCCAAGTGGCAAAGCTGAAACTAACTCAGGACTCACTTCCAAATACAGTACACGTCTCACTCAGAAACGGAAAAAATACACACGTGCACTAAATTGAGGCCCATGACGAACAAAATTAGAACCAGCTACACGATAGCAACTTCAATTTCTTGGCATAGTTTGTCAAAAAAGCTCTGGGTACCAACTGAGCAATGGGGTTGAGGCAAGGAGAGGACACCTTTGGACCAAGTTTCAAGGTTCTGTAAAGCCCTTATACCTCACCCCCAGGAGAGCATAGAGACGGCTCCAGCGCTGTGTCCAATCAGTGTTCAAGCCACTGCATCGCCGCTTATACTGGTGCTTCCAGGCTGGGGTAGCAAATTGCCCAGTTCGTCATGGGATTCCCTTTGGGAAGCAGAGTTCCTTATTCTATCACAAAGCATAGCTCAAATGTCACCCAAGTAGGCTTTTGGCTATTTACGAATCAAATGCTTTCAGTGGGTTGGAGACAGACTGTACCAAGGCAGCACCAAGCACACAGTGTGGTAATAATGCTGTGGAGTCGGTTCCGACTCACAGCGACCTGTACTAGGTTTCCGAGGCTGTAAAAAATATGAGCAGAATCTTCTTTCTCTTGTGGAATGGCTGGTAGTTTCGAACTGCTTACTGTGAGATTAGCAGCCCGATTCATAAACAACACTACACCATCAGAGCTTCTTCAACACACAGTACACATTCAAAATATATCTTCTGATTTGACTGGAAATACGGAGTCCTGGTGAGGCACTGTAGGATCAGCACTGGACTGCTAACTGCAAGGTTGGCGGTTCAAACCCACCAGCTGCTCTTAAGAAACCCTATACAGGGTCACCATGAGTCAAAACCCACTCGGAGGCACTTAACAACAACAATCTAGGTATTAACTGACAAAATCTCATGCAAAACTTCCACAAATTCCTTAAAGTCATTGCTAACAAGTTGATTCCAACTCATGTGCTAGAGTAAAGCTATGCTCCACAGAGCTTTCAATGGCTGATTGTCCCCTCTTGGAAGTAGATCACCAAGGTTTTCTTCCAAGTGCCTAAAATACCATCTGAACAGGTAGAGGAAAATAGAAACTTACTTCCCATTACCAGACTGCTTCCACATCTTTATTTATGTTAAACTGAGACACTTCCAAAAAAGAGAGACTCAAATATCAATCGTATCATACCAAAGTTTATTGATTACATCAAACAAAAATTTCTGTAATGAAAAAGGCAAATTGCATTAATAAAAGATGGCATTCACATTCATTATAGAAAGCAACAACGTAGATGTAAAAAACTGCTTAAGTGAAAAAATGTAATATTGCAGTCCCATTTTGCAAGCTGAAAAATGATTTTGTCAATACTTGCATAAAATTTGCACATTTATACATTGCATGTTATTAAAAAATTCCATCACTAAATTATCATGGACTTTGCAAATGTAGGCTGACATTTATACTGTTGCTGGTGTATATGTGGTAAGTATGAACTAATGTCTGCAGTGGGGAAGGCGACATCCTTCAACAATGGACACCAGTCCTGAAACTCACAAGGATATTATGATACTTCAGAAGAATTCAAATGCTGAGTCTATGATCCTGTTGTAACAGTCTCCCCCTTTCTATGTCAAAAAACAGGAATGGTGAGACTGTGGTGTGAACAACACTAGACAGCTTCAAGTCATTCCATCCACTCCTCATTTTTCGCTCATAAATAAAATATCTTTCAGACAGGAAAGGCAGATTCCTCCTAAGGGTCGAGGCCATGGCATTACACATCACTGCCGTTCTGGATCAGAGTTGCAGTGTTACATGTAACTGAGAAAGGACTCTTCAATTCCCCTTACCCTTCATCTAACTTTCTTCCTGGCTACAAGGAAACTCTTTCCACTGCCCTGGGTGTTTATTCTGAGTAAGTCAATCCGCTAATGGCTCTGTGGTAGCCCAGCCTCTCTATCATCTCTCTCATTTGTATTCACAGTCCCTTATAGTTCTAACAGAAAACAACAATGACAATACAACAACAATACAAGAATAACAACAAGACCAAACATCAAAAGCTTTCCTGGGTCTGGTTTTTTAGCTCTTTGGAATAGACAAAGAATATACAGACATTGTCTTTAGCAGATCACCTCAAATACAGGTTACCAGAATTCAGCACACTTAGGTAAGCTGTGAATGACACCTACCAAAATACTCAAAAATAATACTGATAGATGAGAACAAAGGAAATAATGGAAAGGTTTCTAACAGAAATCAAGTCACTTGTAGAATTTTTAAGAGAAATTATGCCTAAGCATTAACACAAAATGTGTTTGTACAAATCAAATGTGCCACGAGGACTACATAAATATCTTGGTACAGATCAATTCCAAAACTTTTCCAAATCAAAGTACAATATAAAAACTAAAAGTAACACAGGCATGCCAGAAAGGCCAACAAAATCAGGAACTGACAGGAAAGTGATTTTTTTTTTCAAAAGACCAGTTCAATTTAGCAGTCAAATGTAGTCATTTATATGCAAAGAAACATTTGTTTCGTCTTAACAGTGATGAAAGACATTTCACATTTATTTTTGTTTTAAGCGCACTCACTGGGAGGCTGAAACCTCCTCCGAGAACAGCAGAGTCGAGTAGTTTCCCAACGTGAATCTCAAGGTTGAAACTTAGGCCATGGCCCTGGCAGATGGCTAGAAGAGATTATAATGTTCATGCTGACAGCGCCATGGCTCAGGCGACGGAGCTATCCTCTCAAGTGGATCCCCTCTTCCCAAGTTGACAAGTTAAAAAACCAAAGTGCTGCAAGTGTACACAAATGCAGGCTCTCTCAAATAAAAATGGTAATGGTTTAAAAGAAGCCACTCTTCCTCTTACCCCTCAACATAAAATGCTAATAAGACGGTGGTACATCATGGCTCCTATTTGTTTATGACTGGTTTTAACCTCCTTATCTCAGATCAAGGGAAAGTAGATAGAGGGAACCCCTCTTCTCCTATTTTGAGGGTTATTCCGTGATCACTCTGTAGTAGCCTCACACCCACAAGAACAAAAACTAAACACATTATTTTTTTCCTCATTCCCCCACAAATTGCCAGGGGTTCATGTTATTTTCATGAAAGTGTTCATGTTACTTTTTTGGCAAGGATGTTCCACCAGGATACAATCTGCATATAGGTGAACAGAAAGGAGGAACTATTTTATCCTGAAGCATGGATACCACTTAGTCCTCCTGTATCTTCAAGTATTCCTTTCATGTATTTGACAAAAATAAAAAATTTAACAACAACAAAAAATGGTTATCACTCAGCAGGAACAAGAAATATGATCCAAACAGCCTATTTCTTTTGCCAGGCCAAAAAAAAAAAATAGTAGTAGCAAAATCTATTCATTCCCACTGTATGACTTCTATATTAAACTACTATAATTAAATCCATTCTGAGTTCGTGGGTTAAAAGAGCACCCATTTGGTGGTTACATTATTCTATCTATAGCCATATACTTCTGAGCTGACAGCTTTGGCCATGACTGCTTACAATAACTGTAAATGGTGAGGAGAGTCATTTGGTATTCGCAGAGACACTGATTCGGAAGCCCAGACTTAAGAAGTGGTTTTGTTTGTTGCATATCAAGTATCCTGAGATGGTAACTTTGAGTCATTCCTCTTCCTGCTTTTTGTTTTTAGCTGTAGCCACCGTCAATATGCTTGTAGGACAATAACATAGGCAGCTCAAGATTCGGGTTCTGGAAAAGTTCAAGTAGACACAGTTAGGAAGTTTATTTTAACAACACCGTGAAGCCATCTGTTTAGTAGTTACCAAAATAAATCAAGTAGTCAATTTTGTTATGATTAAGGCAACTGTCTTAACAGAGTGTCAAGTTTTATTCACATGCAGCAGAGAGGCGAAAACCACCAGATTACAATCCTGTCAGCATTGCTCAGGTGAATCGATTCGGACTTGCTTTTTGCTTCTGGACTGCTCCAGGGTGCTCCTACTAATCTGTACCATTAGGGGTTATCTCTCATGACACAAACGTAGCTCTGATCCTTTCCTCTCAGCTCCCCAAACTTGACCACATCATTTGTCTCTCCAGCACCCAGGAAATCCTCAGGAAATGTCGAACAAATGAGTGGATGGTGTTTTTTTAAAAAAAAAGTGTCAATTTTGACATGGGAAGTCTGAAGACAAGTTCAGTTTGGAAAGATTAGTGTGAGGACTTTTTGTCTTCACTGAAAGAAGCCATGCCCCCGCCACCCCAAATACTCAGTTGCCATGAAGTCGATTCCGGTTCATGACGACCCCATGGTGCTGCAGAGTCAAACTGTGCAGCATATGGTTTCCAATGGTAACATCTTTTGGAAGGAGATTATCAGGACTTCCTTTTCAGGCACCTCTGGATGGATATGAACCATCCCCAAGTTAATAGCCAGGGAACAGTTATAGTTAATCTGTAAATTCTCTGTCTTCTAAACATTATCAAATGTTATGGCTGGGATGAGATACAACAGGCAAACTAATCAGAGTACAATGCAACATCATGAGAAATGGATCACTTCTGAAGTCGTATGTCAACAGAAGGAGCCTAGATTGGATTCTCCTCACTCAAGTCCAACACTTCTGACCCTGAGTAGCACACAGCCTGAAGCTGTGTGGGGCTGGGGGTCCTCCCCATTCCCTTATCATGGTTCGAGTAGAAGTCTGCTAGGATGCTTCTCAATTCTGAGGCTATAATTTCAAGGATTCTTCTGTTGTTCCACATTCTTAAGAACCCGTTATTTCTTCAGTGCAGGATCATGCAAGGAGCAAACTCTGGCTAAAATAATTGCCAGCTGAAGGAGCTCTGGTAGCGTAGTGGTTACAAATCGGGCTGTGAACCTTAAGGTCAGCGGTTCGAAACTACCAGCCGCTCCGCGGGAGAAAGATGAGGCTTTCTACTCCCGTAAAGATTTACACCCTTGGAAACCCTGTATAGGGTCGCTATGGGTCGGAACCGACTCGATGGCACTTAACAACAACAACAACGTTTCCTTGGAAGAGAAAAAATGCCACATGAAAATCTATTCCTGGATAAGAAAACTACATTAAAAATAAAACAAAAACATTTGTTTTCTTGTAAAAGTACAAAGACACTTCTTCAATTCTAGGTTATAAATTGTAGGAGTTTTAAGGCCCTGGAGAGGCCAGAAGCAATAGCAGTGTCTGTTACCCAACCCCATCCCCGACACAAACTAAAGAAAGCAATCCAGGGGGATGCAAAATGAAATGGAAACACACCACACAGCTTAAGACAAGGCTATCTGGGACCAAAAGGCCAAAGACTGTGAAGGCTCCAGGGAAGCAGATTCTTCACCATAGGACACCAGATATGCAGGGGAGATGCTTAACATGGGGGAAAGATGCCGACTGAGGTGAAATGAGTCAGCTCCCACAATGAAGTGTTAGATGCGGACCACGAGGAATTACAGAAGACAGAATCATCAACTGATTCAATGTAGTCATTGCACTTTTTATTCTTTGTGTGTGCTGAGGGGAGTGGGGATGACAAAAACACAACACACAGGTCTATGAGGTGGATACACAATTATTAGCCTCCACGTGGACTGAGCTACAGTTTCACTGAAGTTGATCATTAGTTTTTGTGTGTGAATGATGGCCTGGCCTTAAGCTGTATGGAGCTGACTGTAAAATGAAACTCATTCATGAATCACTGTGAAGGCCTGGGGCGACTGAGTTCGTGCACCAGGGTTATGCACAGATGGTGACATTCTAAGCACAAAGCTTCCTCCCAGGGCACATCAGAATTATGAGGTTAAAATACAATAATATTTAGAGAACAAGGAAATTTGTTATTGGAAACAGTGATTCTAATGAGTTTTACATAATTAGGTTAGCCTCCCCCTGAATGGCAAAGGAAGTTTTTCCTCCAAAAGTTGAAACATGGAGCTTGAATAAAACTTGACATTGGGGAAAAAAAAAAAAAAAAAAGGTATGATTAGAGTAGACTGGTTTATTAATATGCATTTAGGAATCTGACATTTACAAGGACATTAAGTGTCTACCTGCAAACACACAGACACAGCACATGGAGATACAAACACAATTCATTATTTCCACATAGTTCCCCAAAGAACATGCAATACTAAACTGACTGGGTATTATACAGATGCAATTTTGGAATATTTAGTTTCTGTGTTCCAATGATTCTAAATCCAAATCGCATTTCCAGATTAGTAAGGATGAGCAATTTTCAAAGGACAATTTGTACTTTACAAATTAAATACACTGCATTTCTCCTTAAGCTCAGCAAATGCCAAAAATTTTCTTTTGGGGCTCAGCAAATGTAAAAAGATTGATTTCCCATATTCCAAGCAATGCATCTTTATATTTTTGCAAAGAATAGTATACAGTTCACCACACCAACAGCAGAGAAAATTGAGAGAGTACTGTTTTCTCATTTGTCTTGCTAATGCTGTTAATCTGTTTTGTTAAAGCCAGCCCACTTGTTTAGCACTAGGTACCTGTTACAACATATTAGATTCGTCTGAGAATGTTCGTAAAAGAAGAGGTCTGACTGAAGGTCTGGCGGATAATGAGTCAGATGCCTTTCTACAGCTCAGATTTCTCTGTAATAGTGAGGTAAAGATACTTAAAGCATTTGAAGATTGGTTAACCTACCTGGTAATCAAAATATAGCAGAAAAAAAGCATTTCCTACAGAGTCTACTCTTCTGGCCCCAAGTACAATTGACACCACAGCAAACGTATAACATTCAAATGAATACTTTTCACGGTCTCCCAACGTCTCCAACTCGATTCCAAATGCTTCCATGGTGGAGGCGCACAAACATTGGAAGTTGTGGCAAACTCGGATCTTTGCAATGGCACTGGTAGGTTCGTTCAGTGGCAGGATGAGTCACTATGCTTTGATTTGGAAACTTTACCATCCCTTTGGTGGACACCTCTGAGAGTTGTGCTGGCGCAGTTAGTGTAGCCAACGAAGAGAGATTTGTGTAAAACATTGTCATCTCAGTGACCAGACTGACTCCACCCGCCATGGCTACTACTACAGATTTTTGAAAAGTACTTCTTCTCCAAGGCGACAATTTGAGAGGGTGAACAAATGGTTAAAGGAAAATGACAAACTACTCTAAGTATCAACAGAAGATACAAAAATGAGTCAGGAGAAGTAATATTTCATAAAGATTCAGAAAATGGTGTCAAGCAAATGAGAATGCAAGCAAGTTGGTACATTAAGAAAGAAAATCACCTTATTCACTCCAAGAGAAACTGTGATTGCTGGAAGTTTGAGAAAGCATGAAGATAGTAGATGTTCCTGAGGAGGGGAGGCGGTTCGTTACCTTGTTCACAATTGCACAAAAGGTGGAAAATTGCAGTAGAAAAAAGAGAAATGCAGAAACCAAAGGGGGGAAAAAATAAATATACTCAAATGTAAGACATTTAAAAAGAAACCTTGAGAATTCAAAGTAGAAATGACATGGTTAGTTTTAAAGACGTAAATTTCTGAAGTCAAACTAGAGTCAGTTAGGAATAGCCTATTATATGTGCAAACTACTGTTTGTATGCATATCAATTTAAAACAACTACGTATGAATGAAAACAAATTTTAAGTGTTTCTCATGAATATAAAACTTATTTGTAATCAGTAATTCACTAAGTTACACTTGTTCAAATCCCATTGGTCCAGAGTTCATCACCAATCCATCTATCGTGAAGTGGCTATAAGCCTAATCCAATTGCACAGATACAATATGCAGGGACTGGCTGCACTTGGGCAGCTGCAGGTTAAAATCCCAATCAAAAGGAGCATGATGGAAAAACATTTGGTGAAGTCACTCTTCAGTTTCATTTACCTCTGGACCAATGCGTAACTTCCTCTCTCCTAACACAATTTGATTGATCTCCCAAGCTTTTCCTTCAGAGATCTCCTTAAAAAGAGTAAAGAGCTGCTAATTTTTCTTTTAAAGCACCTAGAAAAAGTCAAAGTTGATAATTAATGTGTAATTTTAAAACCTAGAAGGTTATCCTATTGCTAGCTCACAGACTTGGTTTCAGCATTGCATTGCCCAAGCAAAACAGAAGATGAAGTCAATTAGGAGGAGGAGTCTGAAAGCTCTGCTAATCAAGATTATCCACAGTCATCTGCCTAGTGACAAAGGAAAACAGATTCATAATTAAAAAAAAAAAAAAAAAACAGACAGTTAACGTAACGTATGTTTTTAGCAGAGTCTACAAACAATTATACTTTTAAAGACAAATCCTTTGATTTCCTTTATGCATGTTTTCACAGAAGTACATTTTTGTTTCCAGTTCCTATGTTACCTTAAAGGAAGGAAGCTGGTGACATGTTGGTAACATGCAGATAACAGATTATTAAAGCTAGAGAAGCAAATCATTTCTGAGAAAACTGTTAAAAATTGCTTCTATCTTCTATTTTGTGGGCAAAAACCTTGCAGCAAAATTAACATGATGCCAAGTCCCTGCTCCCCAGTGCTTCGTGTACAAGCCTATCTACTGAAGACTGCAATTGTTAGCGCATTTTGGTGTGCTCAACAACTTGTCTCCAGCCTTCAGAGATAAAAGAGTTCTTACGAAGCAGAAATGTTATAGGTTAATACGTTAGGTGTCGAGACTGACTATTTTACAAAGGAAGAAGGGAGAGAGAGGAAAATACAGAAGGCAGCAGAAAGTCTGACAAGAGAATCTACAGCACTAAGAAACCGGCAGTAGTAACAAGTGGTAGGACCAGTGGGCAGAACGGGAGGGGATGAGCCACAATGGTATGACGTTTCCACAGTTCTTTGCAGTCACCTAGAGCTTTGACACTGGCCAAATTAGCAGTATGTCAAAGAGGCCAATGGGTAAAGGCCCCTCCCAACAGCCACAGATTAGAATTGGACTTTTATTTTCTTTCAGTAAAGTTCATTAGGCCACCACCTTTAGAAGCCATGTCTGCTTCCGACACTGTGGGAATCATAATGGAATTCATCATTGTCATCATTATTACTGCAATGACAAAGTGTTCTTTTAAAGCGTTTTCTCTGCGAATCTTGTTCAGATGGCCGACAGTCTTCCTTTCTCCATTTTCCACTCTGAAGTGCTTCCTAGACCATGGCAGGTGGCTTCTGTCTGTGCAGATGTTCCATACATGCTAGGCACAGCAATGGTGCAGGGAGGGTCATTCCCATTAGATTCGGGGGAAGCCAGGTCTTTCTGTAATTGTGAGTGTTTACGTAAGGACAATGGGAAACACCTCTAGTGGGAATGTCAAATGGTATGCACTTAGCTGGAAGGCCCACTTGGTGGTGTGTGGAGGGGAGCTGGCTTTCTGAAAAGCCCAACCCCTAACCTTTCAACTGCCTCTGACTTGCTGTCCTGCTGGCTTCACCGTCCACTGTCAGCAGCCTGGCCATGCAGCTTTGCCTCTTTAAAAACTAAAGAAAAGCTTGATGATCCTAACTAATGGGAGCTTAGCACAAAAATGAACCTCACTGATGAAAATCTAGCTGAGGAATACACAGCTTAACTACCAGGTATGAGTTTAGAGATGGAGGGAACCTGTTTTCGAGGCTGGTGTCATGCCAGAGCTCAGCAGGGCAGCCTCTCACTGGAAGCATCAGTCTGTGCCATCGCCCACCTGTGCTATAACAAGACATCTCGTCATGGACTCGACTGTTCTGTTTCATACCACTGAGAGAAGTGTGCCATAGGCGTTGCCTTTCAAACTCAGCAGGAGTAAAACCTCCTTGTGAGCATGGGCCACTTCTGATTCATTCCTGAAATCTCTGTACCCAGTACAAGAACTCTAGACTCCTTGGGTTGTACCAGGCAAATGGTTACCATGCTTGGCTGCTAAGTGAAATAAATGCTAGAGGTACCAATCCACCCAGAGGCACCTCAGATTAAAGACCTTGTGACTTAGTGCTGAAAAACAACAACAACAAAAAACAGCCATTGAAAAGCCTGTGGAGCACAGTTCCACTCTGACCCATACGGGGTCCCCACGAGTCAGAATGAACTCTGGTAGCTGTTTAGTACAGAGCCTAACTCATACTGCTGCTCCTGCTGTTAAAGTGCCATCAAGTCAGTTCCAACTCATAGTGACCCTGAATTCATCCTAGGTCCTCAGAAAACACGTGCTAAAGTGAACAGAAATCCAGGCTTCCATAATAGTTACACGCAAGAACTTAGGTCTTTCTCCAAGTAGCTGCCAAGGTCCACAAGAGGTCAACACTGGTAGCCGGTCTGTTACTGGCATTACTGGCTGTGTGCACCAAGGTTCCAAAAAGCTTACTGGTGCAAGTCAGGGAGGGAGTCAGGGACTCACTTTATCCAATCATGAAGTCAGTCAAGTAGGAGGCAGGTCCAGTGTAAAACAATGATTTGTCTCTCTTTAAAGGAAGACCAATGCCTTAGCAAGGGATACTGAACACAGTCGGAAGGCACCCAGGAAATCTCTCTGCATCAGGGCTGACCTATTTTGGGAGAGTAAGTAAGATCCTTGTTCTCCTTTTCCTTAGGGGTGGCCTCTTGGATGCAACTTCCAGAGAGTCGTGGCTGCTGTGTTTCAGTTGGCCTTTATGGATTCATATGCACTACAGCAGTCTACCATTTTCTCAAAAGGCAAAAAGAAAAAAAGAAGAGGGGGAGACAGCACTGCTGAGCACCTGTAGTGCTCTCCCTCACCCATACCTCTCTGGGCCCCACAGAGTCTGAGGAACCACTGGCCTTCTAGACATTGGATAGAAAGAGAGATGTTCGTCAGTAGGTGGTTCAGTAAATGCTTACTTGTTCAATGAGGGTAGAAAGAAATGAACGAATGGCTTAATGAATGAAGATGATCATGAAAATTCTCCTGGTTGATCTGGAACATCAGCCTGTCAAGCTGTAGCACAGACACTAAAATTCTCCCTCTACCATGGACAGAACCCATGGCAAACCAATTCCATGCTGAACACTTGACAACCATCTAGGGCCTTGAGTAATAGGAACTGCACTTATAGAGCTCCACGCTTTCACTGGAAGTTCACTGCTGTTTGCATTGAGGGGAAACAAAGTTCTAAGGTTTATATCTGTAACTGCCTAATAACATCCTTCCATTTTAGCCTATAAAAAGTCACCTCCAGCCAGTGTGTACATTTTTAAAGATTGTTAGGTTAGAAGGTTTTGATGTCGTGAATTTTTGGTTTCATCTTTAGATCATGAGGCTGGGTGTGAACCATCTTAGCATGAGCTCCATTGCCCCAAATAAGAAAAACATTTAGGAGAAACCCAAGATGTACTCTGGAATAAGAACAGAAGAGAAACTAGGAAAGCCTCCTCAGACAAATCACCTATTATATAAAAGAACCAAATCCTTCCCTACAGTGACATTTTGTATTTGGCTTCATTCAAATTGCTACTTGAATCATTCGGGGAGAAAATCAATGTATCAACCTGTTTTTCCTGTGTTCAACTGGTAAGAAGGTATAATTAGGCAATTACATGCCACTTTTCCATCCTAAGACTAAACACCAGGCTGGAGGGAGTTAAAATGAGGTCTACTGGAAGGCGTTAGGCAAAGACTAAAGTGATTTTAGCCAAGTTAACACAATTTTGGCCACCTCCGTCCCTGAAGGCATGTAGAAGCAGGGAGTTCAGACCAATTCTCACCACCTAACTAGATATGGATTGGCCATGGATCAGTGCAACATGACAGACATTTACTTGTACCATGAAGGTCTTTATACATCAGAAAACTGAACATTCTCACACTAAGATCATTTCTGATTCCCATGTCTGCGTGATGGCAATCACTGGATTTTATCAATTCAAAAAGGGAATCAAAAGAAAGGGGAAAAAACCTAACCAAACAACAACAAAAAAAAACAACCAACAACAAAATCAGAGAACCCAGCTTGGGAACCAACCTGGCTCATAAATTTTATCAAATAGGCAAAGTAAACAGAGCCTAAACCATTTCCTGATAATACTGCCTGGGAGGGGGTCCAGGATCCAGCTGGTTTGAGTATGACAGAAACAGAGTTTTGCTTAGAAAAATGAACTAGTGTTGGCAAAAATGTATTTCACTGACTTCTGCCAGAAGTTTTATTTTCTAGGTTAATCTGCACTTTCAATTCAAAGTTTTTTTTGAAATGTTCAAAAAATATCAGCTAAAGCAGGGCCAAGTGATTAGGCTGTGGGGAGAGAATATCTTCTCTTACCCACCAGAAAGTTACAATTTAAGCAGCTAAAAAAAACCCCACACATAAAAATAATCTTGACTTGGAAACAACCACCATGAAAACCAGCGTCATCTGAATGTATAAATCACACCCAGGGAATAATGCTCTTTAGTTGACATATACTGCTGGACAGAAAGAGCTAGAAGCAACACTGAGATTAAGCAGCACTGGTAGCGTAGTGGTTACGAATCGGGCTGTGAACTGCAAGGTCAGCAGTTCGAAACTACCAGCGGTTCCGCGGGAGAAAGATGAGGCGTTCTGCTCCTGTAAAGATTTACAGCCTCAGAAACCCTGTGCAGGGTTGCTATGAGTCTGAACCGACTCCACGGCACATAACAACAACAACAATAATTAAAGGAAGGGGAGAGGTTTAATAGAGGCTAACTGGGATTAGCAACTAGGAAAAAAAACAAACAAAAAAAAAGAGTATAGGCAAACAATCCGCAAAAAAAATTTCTAAGATTCAAGCTGGAAATGTTGGTGTGGAAATTCCTGGCATGAAAATATCTACGCTAAATTAAAAAAAAAAAAAAAAAAGTTTTTCTTTGAAATTTCCATATGGAGCATTTCAGATCCTCCATATGGAGTGCTAAAGGTCACACAGAACACTAGCAAGAATCTACTTACCACCTGCATTGGATAACGAAGATTTTACTATACTGTTTATGCAGAGGAGGAACTTAAGTGGTGAACCTGTAAGGAGGGGTTTAATATTCTGTAACTAATACAGTTCTCTAAATCAGGTCTTTATTTCATGGCCAACATTGAAGCCCCTTCACAACATCTGATTATAGTATAAACTGAGTTCTTACCCGGGCACTTCGTCTTCTTACATTCTTTAATACTATCAGGAGAATCTCAGGGAAAAGGCTGATAAATATTAGAAAAACTATGGCCAACCATGTAGAGACAGAAGACAGCATTTGAGCAAATACGAAATACATTCTCTGCTGCTTGAGAAAAGGCCTAGAGTGGAAAGAAAGCACACACAAACAAATCAGTTTCTTAATATGAAACAAAAATGTGATTGTAACTCTTTTGTATTCACAAGAAATCTTCATTATGCATGTTAATAAAAATGATTTTCTCTAGAACATCATAAATGTCATTTATCAAACATTTGGAAAGAAAAGGGGAAAAGAATGAGAATCAATGTATCTGACTGGAAAACCATCAGACACTGAAGTCTAAAGCTGCCAACTGGAGACTGTTTGCATTAGAAAATGCTAGCACGTTAAAGGTTTTCAAGAGAAACTATGGTTAATTTCTATGCTAACAAGCATTTTACTTTCCCAACTGCTTTATTTACATAAGGATGGTCTTGCGCTTTACATTCAGCAATGTTATTGATAAGTGCTGTCAAGTAGAGTCAGTTCAGACTCATAGCAACCCTGTATAGGGTTTCCGAAGAGCAGCTCTGGTGAGTTTGAACCACTGATCTTACAGTTCACATAGATCTTGTGGTCCAGTGTTTTATCTGTCACACAAGGACACCTTCAGAAATGCAAAGGATAATTTTATACACACACCCCCAAATAAACTACGTAAGTATCAAGGTAATTGTAGAGCTTGCCATCTCTCTCAAATGGTAGGAATGCAGCATTCTCTTGCCCAAATAAATATTGAGTTCCAGCGTGTGCAAAATATTGCTGATAGGAACCTCAGACTCCAGGAGGATCCCTCCTTTAGAAGTTGTTTTTCATTCCAAGCCATTCAGTGAAGTGTTGGGCGTGGCCACTGAGACGCACAGCCAGTCTCCGTGCGGAGGACCTTCGGGCTAACACGAGGCAGAAGTGGGGCTGCTGTGGGCCCAGATGCAAGTGGATTAGGAGCCCGAGGCAGACACGGACAGACTCCATTGATTACATGGCTCAGTGTTCACAGAGGAGAAGTGGCTTCTCCTACACAAATTCTCCTACACAAATGAATCTTTACACATCCTGAGGCACCACAATGAAATCCAGCTGAGGGTCTGCATCTATAAGGCTTAGCAATGGAACAGCAAGAGGCAGGACATGGCTGAGGTCCCTGAGGTCCTGCACAAAAAAGATTTCTGCAGAGTTCTAGCCCCAAAATAGCTCTGAAGTGCCCCCTGACTAATCTTCTAGGCATAATAAGAGTTCAGCAGAAAAGTAACAGTTAATCGCAGAGTCTTCCTTCTTGTGGTAACCACCATCCTCTTATTTTCTCCCTCTCTCTATATATGTTAAATGCTGTCGAGTCGGTTCTGACTCATAGCGACTCTGTATAGAGCTTCTGAGGAGCAGCTGGAGGGTTTTGCCTAACTTGTGGTTTAAAGTCCAGTGCTGATCCTACAGCTCCACACCAGGAGTCCCTCTCTAAGTATATATTATGCTTTGCATGAATGCCATTGATGGAAGATTGCAGGGAGCAGTAGAAAACAAACGATACCATTCCTAGTTTGGTTTTACGCTTAAATACCATCATGTCCATTGCCCACCCAGAAAGCAGTTTGTGTTCTGATGCCTCGGGGCAAAGTATGCAAGCCGCCTTCAGATGAAGCGTCACATCATTGTCACTCACATTTTGCTTGTTGCTTTGTATTATCAAGTTTGTATTCATGTAGTAGCTCAACAGAGATGGCTCTACTTAAGGTCAGAAATGAAGAGAATAAAATCTTAACAATAGGTGTATTAATATTTCATGCTTAGTAAGTATCCTAATGTGGAGTACTGGTGTGGCACTATTGGATCAGCACTGGGCTACTGTCACAAGGTTGGTGGTTCAAAATCACCAGCTGCTCCCCGGAAACTCTATACAAGGTCTCTATGAGTCTGAATCGACTCCATGGCACTTAACAAGTATCCTAATTAGTAAAAACAGACAACATCCTATTAAAACATGGTAGTGTCTTAATCATGTAAAGGATTTGCTTTAGTCACTGAGGAACATTTTGTAGAAAGAGCTAGAGACTTAAGTTACCTGGAAACATTCTATTCTTGTGGAATTTCTGCCTAATTAGTTCAGATGCTGATTACATGGATTCACAAATAGAATTTCTGGTGCTCTGGGAAGACCTACAATTGCACATTATAGTTAATTCATTTGTGTATTATCAAAATCCAAACTTCCTTCAGCTTCTTTGCTCTCAATCATTACCTATATAGGTGGCAAATACGTATACGCTGCAATTACACTTCTCAGAGCTCATCTTTATGTAATTAGCTATTTCTTCTTATTTTTATTTAAGACTTATAAAACAAAAGCTTTTAAAATAGTGAGAGTCTCTTCTAATTAAGTCTCAAGGGTCATGAACATAGACCTGTGTACCTCCCATCTCTGCAATAAAATGTTTTTTTATTAGTAATTCTTCAAACCCGAGAAAACACGTGCTCCTGGTTTCTCACCCTACGACTTTCGCTGCTGGCATCGAGGGAAGCCACTGCACGGATGCATGAAAACACCGCTGACGGTTCCCAACAAAATGTAGACCTCTGGGGGCCAGAAAAGGAGACTTTCCTCATTGCAGTTCCCGTGACCCTCACTAGACTCGTTGGCCTCTCTGGCGCCCCTAGAGGACCCTGGAGCATAAGGTGGGTGCAGAATATGCATTTTCAGCAGCAGTATGAATTGAATGAAGCTTAAGACCAAGCTACAGAGTAACACTTTACCCAGGAAAGCAGTGAGACGTGTTTCAAGGTACAACCCTCTGGGTATTCAGTGGTGTCTATTTTAAACCCCAAGAATCCTGACTCTGGCATGAATGACAATAGGGTTCAAATAGATAAATGTGATTGGTCACCAATCATGTAGAAAAGTCACTTGATGAGTATTTCCAATGGAAATCACAAGAGTGTCCTGCTGGAAATTATAGTTTCAATTCAGAGAGCTGTTTCCACACCTTCAAGCTGAAAAACATGGGCTGGGGCAACCAGAAGGGAGGTCTACATGTTTATATTTGAAAACTTACCTAAAATGAGCGGCATTCCGGGCTATAAATAAATCTAGTTCATTAATATTGAAAAATTGCTATTTTATACAAACTTTAAAAGCATAATCAATGTATATATAACAATGTACATACACCTGTATCTATTTTTATTTGCATAATATACATGCACAGCTACTTACCAAATTATTCCTCCCCAGAAGAATGAGAAAAACACATAAAAGGCTAAGGAACCCCAAATCACAAAGTGATTTATCCATGTCCAGAACCGAGTATCCAAGGCAAGCTGCAAAGATATAACACAAGAGCTTTCATGATGGGTACACATTGCGCCAGGTAATACATTATATTATCTGATAATTGTACATTACATGATACATATGGGAGGGTTGAACTTGGACCATGGATCCAGAGAATAGAACTATGAGTAGAACAGAATGCAGGCATTTCAGTGAGATGGGATGAGGAAGCAGGTCCCCAGGTGGCACAAATACTTAAGCACTAGATTACTAGCTGACAGGTTGATACCCAAGGGTGCCTCAGAGGACAGGAAAGCCCAAGGATGAAAGTGGGGCAAGGACTGAGGTCATGGGAACATCCCTGAGGCTGGAGTGCTCAGTAGTGACAGCTGAGGAGATGCTGGCCGAGGCAGGCACACTGACCAGGAGGCGAACAGTGGAACGGGATAACTACAAAGGGTAGAAAAACTGTCCAAAGGAGTCATAACAGTTCAAACCCATCAGATGGGGGTGCCAGCCTATAGGTTAATAAAATTGTCAGTATCCTCAAATGGTAACCCTTATAAGTTTCTGCCAAGACTGACTTATTTTTTTCAGATTGTGGAACTTGGAACTATCATGTCATCTAAAAACAAAAGCGTGCTCTGCCGTGTTTGCTTAAAACTTCTGAGTCACATGGGCATGTACTACAGAGCATTTCTGTTTGGGAAGGAGGTGGTGTCTCAGTTTTGTGACTTGCCCATGACACTGTGGTCCTCAGCTCTGTCACAGTTTCTCCATTCATAACACTGGTAACGCAGCCCAGCCTTGAATCCCCACTGGGTTGCTAGGGAAAATGTCACAATAATACTCGTCCCAAAAGAAAGGGAGTCCTTAGAACCACATCTAAAAAAGCTGCTGCAGTAAGGTCACTTGTCGCCCTGGGACCCCAGGCAAGAACAGGACAACAGGGGGTGGAAAAAGAAGGGAGGGCTATTGTATCAAGTCATTATGGTTCCACCGTGAAATATAATAAATAGCAAGTAGCTCTCCAGGCCTGATACACTTGTAACTGCTTTCTAAGTGTTCACTAACTGACTTCTACAAAAATCCAAAGCGAGGTAGGTGCTACTTTGTTGTTGTTGTTGTTGTTAAGTGCCATAGAGTCGGTTCTGACCCATAGCGACCCTGAATAGGGTTTCCGAGGCTGTAAATCTTTACGGGAGCAGATCGCCTCATCTTTCTCCCGCGGAGCAGCTGGTAGTTTTGAACTGCTGACCTTCCAGTTCATAGCCCGATTCGTAACCACTACGCTACCAGAGCTCCTTACTCTTCTTTTTATAGAAGAAAAAGCAAGCACAGAGAAGTGAAGTAACCTGTCCAGGGACACACTGCTAGTAAGTGACTAAACTGAGATGAATTGTAACAAGTCCTTTTAAAGTCCTAAAAACGTATTGAAAGAGCAGATGAATATCCCAAACACATTAATTAGCTCAATTCAGCAAGAGAAACAAGAAACAAATTGGAGGGGGGTGGAGATGATCAGAGGTCTGAAATGATACTTCTGTATTCTTATTTTGACCACTGGTCAGGATGGGATTCATTTAAAGGTGCCCATTTCTTACTGGAATGACTGACTATAACAGAGTCCCAACAGGGGCGTCCTAATTAGCATTCAAGTCGACGTCACATCAATGCCAATGGTTTTACCAATATTACCTTTCTTGTACGGTGCTTTTAGGTGCCATTGAGTCTCTTACAACTCATAGGGACCCCATGTGTCAGAGGAGAGCTACCCCATAAGGTTTTCTTGATGGAAGCAGAGCTCCAGGTCTTTCTACCTAGGAGTTGCTGGGTGAGTTCAAACTGCTGACTTTTTCTGTTAGCAGCCAAATGCATCACCAGGGTTTTTTTCTTATATGTTATTGTTATGTACTGTGGAGTTGGTTCCAACTCATAGCGACCCTGTACAGGGTTTCCAAAGCTGTGAATCTTTATGGGAGCAGAAAGCCTCATCTTTTTCCCATGGAACAGCTGGTAGTTTTGAACCGCTGATCGTGAGATTAGCAGCCTGATTCGTAACCACTATGCTATCAGAGCTCCTTTTTCTTATATGCTACCAACTGTATCTCTTTATGGAGTCCTGATGTGGTGCTGCTGGTTAATGTGCTGGACCGCAAGGTTGGCAGTTTGAACCGCAAGGTTGGCAGTTCAAGCTCACCTGTCACTTCTTGGAAACCCTATACAGGGTTGCTATGGGTCAGAATCGACTCTAAGGCACTTAACAACAACATATCTCTTTATGTATCTCATCACCAAGACGAGTAAATTTCAATGACAGAACACATTTTAGAAAATGTCTTCCCTACCAAAATCTTTTACATAAACAACTTGCTCATGGACAGCTGTTCAACTGTTTCAAGAACTCAAGTTCTATATAGGCAGGCTTGAGGTTCTTAAAAAGATGCATGGACTTCATATGGTAATACACATTCATAGCCCATATATACGCTATTTCGCATATGCCCTGCCTGAAAATAGCAGGAAAGAAGAAACCGATTTCTAATATAAGCATGGTGCTCTAAACTTTTTTAAAAAGTCAAATAAAATAGAGGCTAGACTGAAATGAAAAGGAGCACAAATCCTACATAAATAGCCAAACCCCTAGAATCACATGTATTTTAGCAGGCAGGCAAAGGTTTGAACCACAACCTACAGTAAAAATAAAGATTAGGAGGTTTCAAAAAGGTAGATTCAGATAAGAACAGGCAGAATGACAAAAATGGCGTTAAATATATTTGAGAAAATAAAAGTCTCACCTTCAGAGTTACAGTGAATACTAAGACTGTAAAGACAATGGTTCCGAAAGTCCAGTTTCCGTACACCTGAAAGACATTTGTACTGATTACATGTGCCATGAATACACAAGCCGCCTTTAAAAAGAAAAGGCCAATTTGAACCCTGCCTGTAACTGCCAAGAGTTCTATGTGGATTGCTTAGGGAAACACCCACTCACAAGGTCAGGCCATAATGCCAGATTTGACCGTGACACAAGATTGTCAGGGACAGGCACAGCACATCTGTGGTTGCTAGGGTTTATTCCCATCACTCCATGCAGCATTGAACAGGGCACTCCTTAACAGCAGTGCTCCCCAAGACAAGTCAGTTTCTCCTGTCTGAGGGGCCTGGCCTATGCGAAAGAAGGAAAGCTCTCAACTACTGAAACATTTTCAGACAAACGGACTTACAGTTTTTGAAACTACAGTCTAATCTGGAGAAGGTGGGGGGCTGTCAGCATGTGCACATGAAAGAAAAGCAGATACCAGGTATAAATGCAAACGATGACAATGAATGGCACAAATGCTTACCAAAAGCTGTCAAGATCTGAATGCATAACATTAAAACAGAAAGTGAAATGTAAAAGGTTTTTTAAAAAAAATAAACAAAACTTAAAGTTAATAGAAGCAAAAACAGAAAAGGATTCAATCAAATCAGACATGGGTGCTATGTTTCATTGCTGGTAGCAGTTCTTACTGTCATTTTAACAAATATTTAGAAGGATGGTGACAGATACAGTGGAACCGTATTAATTTGGACTTCATGAACCCAGAATGGGGGAGAAGCAGGATAGAGGCTTGGCGGAGGCTCCCCAGGCATCACCTGAAGAGTTGGCTGAACATATGAGTCATGACCACAGGGCTGTAGAGACCACCTGCCTACAGGGGAACAAACTTTCTCTAAGCAGCAGCCAGCTGTATACAGTCTCGAAATACAATTCAAATACACAGGTGAACGGCACATGATCGTTTACAGAGCTGACAGGACCTGAGAAACCACAGCATAACCTTCTTTCTTATGAATGGGTAAAAAGTTGACCTGGAAAACAGAGGTGATTTACCAGGGGACACACATGTTGCTACCACAAATTCTCAGTCTGTATTTCCTCCAAAAGGATTCTGTGATCAAGACTTTTAATGAACTACAATAAAACTGATTTCTGTTTGGTCCAAATTATAGAGAGGTGCTCACTGTAGTTCCACATTTCAAAGTTGCCATTGAGATTCTCGTTGAACGCATTAAAATCTTTGTGGACTTTAGCTTTACCCTACACTATTATTATAATAAAGGAATGACCATAAACAAGAATCTTAGCAATAGTAAAGGAGACATCGTGAAAGCAATACACAAGGCAGTGTGCTAGATTTCCTGCTTCGCCTGTTCCCAGTTGGCAATTCTCTATCAGCGTTTCCAAACTCAAACCCAAGTCGTCGCCAAGGAGTCAATTCCAACTCACAGCAAGCCTGTGAAACAGGAGAACGGCCTCATAGGGTTTAAAGGCTCTCATCTTAACAGAAGCAGATCGTCACAGAGTTCTCCCATGGACTATCTGGTAAGTTCAAACTGCTGACCCTTTGGTTAGTAGCCCAAGGTTGAATCCATTGCATGACTGGGGCTCCTCTTTCAGAGTCCAGGAAGGGCAAATTCATCCCAGTGCAGGGGCAGACTGATGTGGCTGCCTGCTGGGAAGGCCATTCTGCTCCCACAAGGAAGGGAAGGAGGAGGAGAATTCCTTCTCTTCATCTCTGAGGTGAACACTCCAAAACATGGCAGCTACCACTTTCAACTCGGATTGTAGGAGATTATAAGGCCTTAGAACTGAGTGTCGTCAGACTTTGAAGTCAGAAAGGCTTTTCCTAGTTTAAAGCAATACACTAGGGTCCGAAGTTTGAAATCCTATGAACTGTGTTAACCTAGTAAAACTGACAGCTAAGTTAAGCTTCCAAAAGGTTTGTACATTCCAGGGAGCTTCAGAAATTTCGTGGAAAAACAGAGAAATGAGAGTGCGTTTTTCCACATACTTTCTGAAGCCCCGCCCTCTCACCCCCCCCATACACTCTTAGTGAGTCACGCACATGGGAAGTTATTCTGACATTTCTATGTCCTATCAAAGTTATGAGCTCCGTATGGTAAGTTTGGTGCTGTAGGACAAGTACTTATCTGGCAACTGCAAGGTTGGCGGATCAAATATAGCCAGCCGTCAGTGAGTGAGTCCTTACAACGGTCACTATGAGTCAGAACCAACTCGACAGGAAGCATCAGCAACAATAATGTTTTCAAAACACACCATTTCTTAAGAAAGATCGTTTGTAAAATGATTAATGCTACTGTATGATTACAACAGATTCAGAGCCCATAGAAAAAAAATCCTGCTTATGTTACTGAAATATGTAATGATGTGTGTTCTTTTTACCTTTCCATTGTCTTCTAGGGATGAAGTCTGAAATAGGAAGTAAGTCCCAAAGAAGAACATTGTCCCTTCAAAGGCAGCCAGAAATGTCCAATATAAGAAGGGACCCAACTGTAGCATGGCATTGCCAGTGATTTTCCTATTGAGAAACAGGAATGAAAACACCAGTTAATGAGCTCTGCAGACAATGCCCAAGGTGAAATGCCAACGCTGAGCCACAGACCTCTCTTCATGCAGTCCCCTCCCGACTAATGCACTGGGCTAAGTAAACTGTCACAAAGCAGCCAAGTCAAAATTCGGGCTACTGACCACAATAACACCACGAATAAGAATAACTTCAACTTACTGAATACTGGGACAGGGTTAGGAGTTATGTAGGCATTTTATGTAGATCTATTTTCAGCTATATAAAAAGGACTACACGACTTAAATAGTCTTATCATTCCCACTTACAAATAATAAAGTGCCTCAAAATTAGAAGTTACTTCAGAAGTATATCAACCAACTGCAATATATAGTCCTTCTTTGGATCCTGATTCAAACAAGCATGCTGCAGAAAACAAGGTCATTTGTGAAAATTGAGATACTGACTGGATGTTTGATGATAATGTACATTAACATCTTCATCCTTACATTTATGAAAAAATTAAAAAAAAAAAAAAGCATCCATTGCCTCCAACACTGAATGAACACAAGATGCCTTACTTTGTCTTGATAAATTAATTCTTCTGTATCACAAAAACTGTTAGACTGGGCTAATAAAGAGGGACTTAGCTTCCGGTCAGTTTAGAGAGGCAGCCCCTATGAATTCTCTTTATTACAAGTGGGAATCCAAAGTCTATGCAGCACCAAAGAGCTTTGTTGTGTGTCTTCCACCACACCCATCAGAACAATATGATAATATTGTTACAGATTTTGGGAATGAGTGGTTCTGAACTAAATGATTCATGTGTATTCGAGTACAGAACCCAAAGCTAATAGAGTATGTTACATTCCTGCTGAGTGCTCTGGTTTTAGAAGCTACAAATGAGGAAACAGAAATGCATAAACAAAGCAAGTGGGAAGTTCTGTGCCTTCCCCTCCTCCAGATGAAATGAAGCCCACAACTTGGAAAGATGGAGAGTTTTGAATCAAGTCTCTACTTACATATACAATCGGGGGTCTGAGGTCAGAGTGTCGATGTGGATGTGCTGTTCCAGGAGACTGTAGGCCAGGATTGGTAAGGAGGTGAAGCAGATGTTGTACATTGTAAGATAAGCAGCGTCATAAAGGGGCTGAGATGACAAACAAAAGAGGAAAGACAGAAATGTACTGTAACAATTATCTGTGGGACATCAAAACAAGGACATGGATGTGCATGGAAAATCAAAGCAAAACCAAGAGTCTTTTCTTTCACGCTGTTTGTAACAGCTAATGTAACGTTGTAAAGAAAGTCTGGTGCCTGGTAATTATGGAAAAGAAATTAACAGTGTGATGATGCAGCATATTAATATACCCTTGTTTTTTAATAAGATCTTATTCAGAATGTTTGCATGTTGAAAGCTATATTTCTGTGAAATATTCACTAACAACTTCCAAAGATTTGTCAGTGAAAAGACATCAACTAAGTATGAGCCAGGAGACATTTTTCATGTTTTCAATGCTTTCAAATATCATTTTCACCTTTCCAAGGCTATCTTTATGATTCCGAATGTGGCCATTTATTTACTAAGATTAATCAAATGTATTCCTAAAAACAAGGGAAATGTCTGTATGGGGAGGATGACTTTTAATGCTCCCTAGTCTTGAGAATTTTCAGGGATCCAGACAGAAAATTCTAGTTTTCTTTCTACTAGCTGTGTCATGGCTACCTACAACTCAATGTGTACATGATAACTCATTAGACTGCGCCTAAATATGCTTTATCCTATGTCCCTTGTCGGCCAGATAGCTGTCTTCCAAATTTCTTGGCAGAGATGAATGAGTGCCTCCTGTGCTGCCTCACTTTCTTGAAAGATTTCAATTTTGATTCCATCAATTCCTGGTACCTTGTTTTTTTCCCCCAAATTCCTTCAATGCACCTTGGACTTCCTCCCTGACTATCATTGGCTCTTGATCATATGCTACCTCTAAACGGCTGAACACTGACCATCTCCTTTTGGTACAGTGACTCTGTGTATTCCTTTCATCTTCTCTCGATGCTTTCTGCATCATTCAATAATTTGCCCAGAGAATCTTTCAATAACGAAAGTCGAGGCTTGAATTTTTTCTTCAGTTCCCCCAGCTTGAGAAATGCTGAGCATGTTCTTCCTTTTTGGTTTTCTGATTCCAGATCTTTGCACATTTTGTTGTAATATTTGACTTTGTCTTCTCGAGCTGCCGTTTGAAATTTCCTGTTCAGCTCTTGTACTTTCTCATTTCTTCCATTTGCTTTCGTATTTCTACACTAGAGAGCAAGTTTCAGAGTCAAGGACTTCATTCTTCTTGGATCAACCATTAACACTCATGGAAGCGGCAGTGAAGAAATCAAACGACATACTGCATTAGGCAAATCTGCTGCACAAGACCTTTTTAAAGTGTTGAAGAGCAAAGATGTCAGCTTGAGGACTAAGGTGCACCTGCCCCAAGCCATGGTATTTTCAATAACCTCACATGCATGTGAAAGCTGGACAGTGAATAAGGAAGACTGTAGAAGAACTGATGCTTGTTGGAATTCTGGACCTGCCCCCACCCCAAATTTGCTCTGCTAGCTGTCTTCCCTATCTTGGGAAATGACAACCTAATCTTTCCGATTACTCAGTTTCAAAATCTTGCAATCATCCTCGACTCCTCTCTTTTCTACACAGTACATCTAATCTCAGAGCCTTTGCTGAGTCAGAACTGGCTCCCTTCTGAGCAACTCCACGGTAACCACCCTGCAAGCATCCTCAATGACAGAAGCAGCTCTCCCTGCTTCTATCCTTGTCCATTCTCAACATAGCAGCTCAGTAGTCCGTTACAAGATAAGTCAGTTTGTGACAATATTTGGTTGAAATTGTTCAGTGGAGTCCTGTTACTTTAAAACTTCTGACAAGATGGCAGAGTAGGCCATCTGTGTCTGTTTCATTTGGTCTCATATCTTTGTTGTAGTGGAAATCCTGTAACCCTGACTTCAGAGGAAAGGTTACAGAAGTGGACTGAGTGCTTGCTGGGAGGAGAAGCTGAGCAGGGACAGTGAGAGAGGGAGACTGACTGGTGAATGACCAATCAGACATGGCATGGACCATCTTGAACTACTGTGAGCAGCTTTGGCAACAGAAAGTGGCCTGGCAGAACAGATTCCCTTCTTTTTCCCTCATGCTTGCCTGATGACCAGAGGTGAGGCCAGCTGCCACCCTCATAGGCCCCCAGCACAGACCCAGCTCTATGGGAGTTCTGTGCCACACAGCTGGGAGCCACGCCAGTGTGATGTGAGACACGGCAGTACATTGCTTTGAGCATGGATTCAGGCAGGCTCGGCTTCAGACTCGCCGGACCTGCAGAGCCACCAGACCAGCATTAGTCTAGCAGAAACCGTCATAACCATCTACCGTGTCCCCAGCTACACTGTGGTCCTAACAGACACTGAAAGCCGCTCCATCAGGGGCCTCCACAAAGGACTTCCAGATTGAGATCGGAAACATGGCTAACAAACACCAAGGCTGATACAATTCCATCTAGGGTCAGGAACTCCACTGTCACATCCCTCCTACATCCACCTTCATGAGTTCCTTGACTGGCAGCAGCCACGCCCCCCACCCCAAGTTTTCTCCTCTTAGGGTCCAATAGAGGTACAGTTGTTTTTTTGTTTTGTTTTGTTTTTTGGATTTTCCTCTCATTGCTTTTGTTAGCTTTTTCTTTCTTCTTCTTTTCTTTCCATCCCCTTGAATTCTATCCTTTCTATCTCTGCTTTTGTTTTTCCTTCTGTTTCTCATTTCCCGTCTTCTGTTTTCGTTACTACTCTTTACTCTCTTCCCTTTCCCTGGTTTTTCTCAGTGTTTCTTTTATTATTATTATTCCTTTATTTTCTCTTTTACTTCTCTCTTCTATGGCTCCATTTTCCTATCCCTCTCTTCTCTTTTTAGTTATTATATTCTTCATTTCTGGTTGCTGCCTGTTTTTATTTCTTTTTTTTTTCTCCTTTATTAGTTTATCTTATCATTGTTGGCTGTTTACTTGTTTGTTCTGTTTTGTTTTCTTGTGTGTGAGTGTGGGGTTTCTCCTCTTTCCCACCTGATAGGAGATACCAACTGTGTCCAGACAACCCAGCCACAACTGTATCCTTGGCAGCTCCACCTACTGGGCAAGAGCCAACCAGCTCCTATGCCAATTGATCAATGATAGGCAGCACCCAATGCCAACCAAACTCACCCTAAACTGAGAGGTATTTCCAGCAAAGGAGAAGGGTGCGTATGCTTGCACAGGAGACAGGCGAGAGCCTAGGAACACATCAACGCTGTTGTTGTGAAGTGCTGTTGAGTTGGTTCCAATGCAAAGCAACACTATCTAGGGTTTCCAAGAAGTAGCTGGTGGGTTTGAACCACTGACCTTATGGTTCAAACCAACTTTGCACTGTATTATTCAGCAGTGCCACATTAGGACATAAAAATCATCAAATACAAAATTAAATACAACACGACAAGCATTGGACTGCAAATCACAGGGTCCGTGGTTTGAGCCCACGAACCTCTTCACAGGAGAAAGATGAGGCTTTCTGCTCCTGCAAAGATTTAAGCCTCGGAAAACCTAAAGAGGGTTGCTGTAAAGTTGGAACCGACTGCACAATACTTACTTAACAACGATAATACCATGATGTCACCGAGACAATTTTAGCTCATAGGAAAAAGCAAGAGAGACTGGCTCAACAAATAACCAAGACGCAGAGCAAGAAAATGTTTCTGAAGAAGAAAGGTTATGGAAGTAACTGAAAAAGAATTTAAAGGAATCTATTAGGTACCTTCAAAAGACTGACAGAAAGATCTGGGAAAGCAAAGAGAACACAGAAAAAAAAAAGTTACAAGACTTCAGGAAAAGACTACAAGAAGAAATAGACAAAATAAATACAAATTTAGAAATAATACAAAATTGTGCAATTAGAAATCCAGCAGATTAATACTAAGATTTAGGAAATGGACAATACACTGAAAGGACAAAGAAATAGATGTGAAGCAACAGAAGCCCAAATTAGTGGGCTTGAAGATAAATCTCTCAATACTAGTATGCTAAAAGAGCAATCAGGAGAAAGAATGAAAAACAATCCAAAGAAAGCCTAAGAGGTATGTGGGACACTGAAGAGTAACAACTTACGGCGGGTGATCAGAATTCCACAACAGGAAGAGACAAAAAAAACAAAAAAAAAACAAACAGAGAAAATTGTTGAAGAGTGGTCCGAAGTAAACTTCACAATCATGCTTTGCAAAACCTAAGACTAGGCAAGAATCCTGAAAGCACCTCGAGAAAAATGAAAAGTTACCTACAAAGGAGAACCAATAGGACTAAATTCTGATTTCTCAGCAGAAACCAAGTGGGCAATAGGGCAATAGGATGACATATATAAAACTCTAAAAGAAAAAAATTGCTAACAAAGAATCATATACTCAACAAAGTTGTACCTCAAATACGACAGCTTAGGACATTTCTAGATAAACCGAAATTAAAGGATTTTATAATAACCAAACTGAATTTACAAAGCTTACTAAAAGGCACTCTTTGGACTGAGAATCAACAATAGCCATGGTATTTTCAATAACCTCATATGCATGTGAAAGCTGGACAGTGAATAAGGAAGACCGTAGAAGAATTGATGCATTTGAGTTATGGTGTTGGAGATCTGTGTTGGAGGAAGTGCAGCCAGAGTGCTCCTTGGAGGCTAAGATGGCCAAGCTTCATCTCTCATACTTTGGACATATTGTCAGGAGGGAGCAGTCGCTGGAGAAGGATACCATGTTTGGTAAGGTGGAGGGTCAGAGAAAAAGAGGAAGACCCCCAACAGGATGCATTGGCACAGTGGCAGCAGCAATGGGCACAAGCATGGCAAGAATTGTGAGGAGGGTGCAGGATTGGGCAGTGAGTAGTTCTGCTGTCGGAACTGACTCAATGGCACCTATCAACAACAACCACCACCAGCCTGTGCTCCAGAAAGATATGAACTATACTACACTACTATAGGGCCAGGGTCAAAATTCAAGATGCCATGTGTCACGCTGCCTCCTCAAAGAAGCCTTCATTTTAGCTGTTTCCTTTGACATGTCTGCATCGCTCATTCCTTCATCTGCCTCACATCTATGCCCAAGTATCACCTCATCAGGGAGAATGTCCCAGACCACCCTATCTCAAAGAGCACTTCCCTCAAGTTAGACTCTGTCCCTTTATCATGCTTCATTATTACTGCTTCCACCGCAGAGCACAAACCTGTGACCAACACCACATGTTTGTTTCACTTTGTCTGTCTCTCCTTGATCACTGCAATGCAAGTTCCATGAGGGTAAATGAGTTAGTTTTCATCACTGCTAAATCCACCACACATAGCATGTAGTCGGAACTCAATAAACGTATGTCAAACGAATTTATCAACTAGTTGAACAACCGAGGAAGAACACATCAACTCCATTAGAAAGGATTAAACATACACAAGACAGCCGAGGGTCCCTGGCTTTATATGGAATAAGTCCTTTCTTTCCTCATTCCAGCTTGTGCTTGGTAAACATGTACAGATATCCTTTTAATAGGATAAAAAAGCAACAAATTCTTCTGAAAAGAAAAACAAAGTTTCAGCTCAAGCCAATTTCCCTTTCGCTCCTTGCGACACATAACAAGTAAGAAAATTTGACATATCTTTTAATACTTGCATTCATCCAAGTGAAGGAGGAATCAGCAATATTTTGGTTAATAGCACTTCATCAGAATTTATAACACTCTCTGTAGCTAATAGTACTACCTCTGAACACAAGAGGATTAGTGGCATTGCATACAGCTGGTAGATGGTTAAAGTCACAAACCCACAGTGGGGCTGATGGCATAGTACTGATGTAAAGAAACAGCATACCCGAGAACAAAGAGACGAGTTCAAAAGGAAGAGAACTACTTCCCACCAAGAAGAGTAGACTCTCTTAAAAATACTGCTGAAAGTAAGAAAAAAATTTTAACTTCCTACGATGAAGATCCTGGTGTGGCATTGTGGGATAATGCACTGGACTACAAGGTTGGTTTGAACCGCCATGTTGGAGGTTCAAATTCACCAGCTGCTCCTTGGAAACCCTATCCAGGGTTGCTATGAGTAGAAACCAACTTGATGGCCCTTAACAAGATAACCATGAAAAATCATGAGAAATAAAGCTTGCATCTGAAACCTAAAGTCTAATATCTGTCTTGATGTTGTAATTCAGCTTGGCAAAATCACTGAGTATTTGTAGTTGAAACTTCACTATAAGGAACATAAAAATCCATTTCGATTGTGAAAACCAACCTACGACGTACCTAACCACCCCGCCGTTTATGCTATCAAGTTAATATAAACTATATTATTATTAGCAATCAGTTTGAAAACAACTGTTGTTGCTAGTAGGTTTCATTGAGTCAGTTCCAACTCATAGCAACCCTGTTGCTGAGGCTTTAAATCTTTGGGGGAACAGAAACCCTCATCTTTCTTCCAGGGAGTGGCTGCTGAGTTCAAACCGTCAACAATGTGATTTGCAGTCAAGTGCTTATCCTACAGTGCCACAGTAGAAAAAATTTAGGACAAAACACTCAAGAAGTACTTCAAGTAATCCAAGGCTCTATCTAGGAATCACAACTTCTTGTCCAGGTTGAAGATCAACGTTCTCTATAAAATGAGCTTGAGAAATTACAGAAGTGCAAAGGGATTTTACTGAATGAAATAATAAGCGGTTAACACTTTTGGATTATTGGAACATGTTCTATACATTGATAAAAAGGAAGGGGGAGACAAAATACTGCTTCTAAGGTTATTCCAACTCCAACAGGAAACACCAAGTAACTTTCAAAAAGGAGGGAAGAATAAGAAAACTATTCAAGTCAAGACAACATTTTCTATTTTCTATTGCTAAAAACCGGGCATACCACTCTACATTTTAATTTCTAGTACATAAAAGGTGATTTATTAATATCAAATGTCACAGGGTAACAAATAACTCAAGAAACAAACCTGTTGTGAGAATCCACAAAAGAACTGGTACAAAAATTGTGGCAAAATGAAACAAAGGTTCTGGAAAAAAACAAGAAAAAAAGGTTAATCTTTTCACTTCATCAAATGTCTAAGCTAAAGAAATGTATCACAAATTTATATTCAAACTGTAAACTAACTGCAGGATTCAATAACTCTCTATTCCAAAGTTGTAAGAAAACAACTTAAAAGCATATGATTATTTCATATTAAGGCCAACTTTTACCCTACCAAGGCAAAAAAAGATGTCAATTTATGAGAAACTTTTTTTTTTCATTCCAGGGACAAAATGAACTCATCTAATAAGAACACCTAATGGTACTGTATCTTAAATGCCAAGTACATTTAAAAAATCCTTATAAAAGACAATGACATAATACTGTAAATGTGTATTTTAAAGTTAATTTATGCCAACGGTCAGGAAATCACTATAGTATGTGCTGATAGCCAAAAGTTGCCAACTAATGCCTTTAGTACTGTTTCATCAAGTAATCAACATGTAATCATTGAGTACCTACTATATGGCAAGGGCTTCTGGTATGGCGCTGTAGGATCAGCACTCAACTGCGAACCACAAGGTCGATGGTTCACACCCACCAACTTGCTCCTCGGATATCCTACACAGGGTAGCTGTGAGTTGGAACGGACTCAACAGCACTTAATAAAAACACTATATGCAAAGGTGATACAAAAAAAAAGCAAGCAACCAACCAGATAAATAAAAAGCAAACTTCCTTCCCTAAGGACTTATTTAATTGCGGAACACTAAAAACAAGTTGATAAAAAATATAAGCTGACAATTCATATAGGCAATAAAAGGCTGTAATTGTGATTATAAAACACTAAAATCAATGTCTTCTTCTTGCTAGGTGCCATCAAGTCAGCTCTGACTCACAGCAACCCAGAACAAAACACTGCCTGCTCCTGTGCCATCCTCACAATTGTTGTTCGGCCCCACTGTTGCAGACACTATGCCAGTCTATCTCGTTGAAGGTCTTCCTTTTTTCCACTGACTCTCTACTTTACCAAGCATGTTGTACTTCTCCAAGAACTGGTTTCCGCTAATAACATGTCCAAACTACGTGAAATGAAGGCTCACCATCCTGATTTCTAAGACTGATTTTTTTTTTGTTCTTCTGGCAGTCTATGGCACTTTCAGTATTCTACAAGAATAATGGCATCAGTCAAAGGCATCAATCCTTCTTCCATCTTCCTTACTCACTTTCCAGTTTTCACATACATATGAGATGACTAAAAATACCATGGCCTAGGTCAGGCGCAACTTAGTCCTCAAATTGACATCATTGCTCTTGAACCCATTAAAGAGGTCTTTTGCAGCAGAATTGCCTAATGCAATATGTCATTTGATTTCTTGACTGCTGCTTTCCTGAGTGTTGATAGTTGAACCAAGCAAAATGAAGTCTTTGACGACTTCACAACTGTTGGTACAGTTGTGAAGATTTCTGTTTTCTTTATATTGAGGTACAGTCCATACTGAAGGCTGTAGTCTTTAATTCCCATCAATAAGTGAGAGACCACACATCTGTCAGCTTGCCATACTGGGATGGTTTGCACATTGCTGCAATGGAAGTTATGCCTCCAGTATTTTAAATACCAGCAGGGTCGCCTAGGACGGACAGGTTTCGGCAGAGCTTTCAGACTAAGAACAGATTAGGAATAAGGAATAGGCAGTTCAATTCTGAGAGATTTGCCCCTGAAGACCTTGGGAACAGCAATGAAAAATGTCTGACGTAGTGCTGGAAAATCAGCGCCTCAATTTGGAAGGCACTTAAAAACTGATCAAGAACTAGCCCCTCAAAGTCAGCCTTAATGATATAGATGTAGCAAACCTTTTAGACCTTCATTTGCAAATACGGTATAACCCAAAATGAAAAGCAGAAGCTGCAAACATTCATTAATAATTGGAACTTAGAATGTAGCAAGTATATGAATCTAAGAAAATTTGAAGTCATTAAAATTAAATGGAGCACATATAGATTGATATCCTAGGAATTAGTGAGCTGAAATGGACAGGTATTGGCCATTGTGAATTGGACAATCATATGGTTTGGCTCATTAACAACCTTCAATATGCAAATGACACAACCTTGCTTGCTGAAAGTAAAGAGGACTTGAAATACTTCCTGAGGAAGATCAGTATGGATTGCAACTCAATGTAAAGAAAATTAAAATCCTCACAACTGGACCAATATGCTTACATCATGACAAACAGAGAAAAGACATAAGTTGTCAAAGATTTCATTTTATTTGAATCCATAGTCAGTGTCCCTGGAAGCAGCAGCCAACAAATCGAAAAGACATATTACACTGGGCAAATCTGCTGCACAAGCCCTCTTTAAAGTGTTAAGCGGCATAGATGACGGCTGACCCATCATGGTATTTTCAATTCATGCTTCATATGCATGTGAAAGTTGGACAATGAATAAGAGCGTGGAAGAATCGATGCCTTAGAATTAGTGTGTTGGTGAAGAATACTGAAAAGTACCACGGGTGACAGAAGAACAAACACATCTGTCATGAAAGAAGTACAGCCAGAATAGTCTATAGAAGGGAGGATGGTGAGATGTTGTCAAGGAGGGACTAGTAGATGGAAAAGAACATTATGCTTGGTAGAGGATCGGCAAAAAAAGGACAATCCCCAATGAAATGGATGGAACACAGTGGCCACAATGCTGGGTTCAAACATAATCAATGTTAAGATGACATACGGTATAGTTCTGTTGTGCAGCTGACTTGATGGCACCTAACAACAACAGTAAGTACTTCAAATTCTCTTCTTTCAGCAAGCAAGGCTATGTCTTCTGCATATTGCAGGCTGCTAGAGAATATTCTTTGAATCCTGAGGCCGCATCCTTCTTCATTTGGTACAGCTTCTCAGATTATTTGCTCAGCATAGAGACTGAATAAGTGTGTGGTGACACACATCTTTCCTGATTTTAAGCCATCATATACTGTCTGTTGAATTATGTATAGGTTTCACATTGTTGTTAAGTGCCATCAAGTAGGTTCCAACTCATAGCGACCCTGCATACGATTTCCAAGAAGTGTTTGGTGGATTTGAACTACCAACCCTGAGGTTCAAACCAACCTTACGATCCAATGCATTATCCTGCAGTGCCACAGCATAATTAATTGTTTTACAGTTCCCATTCCTCACAGTGTTGTCTATAATTTGTTGATATCCACACAACTGAATTCCTTTGCAAAGTCAGAAACACATGTAAACATTTTTCTAACATTCTTTGCTTTCAGTTAGGATCCATCTGATATCAACAATGATATCCACAGTTCCAATTCCTTTTCTGAATCTAGCTTGACTTTTTGGCAATTTCCTGTGGGTGGACTGCTTCAACTATTTTTGAATTATCTGCAGCAAAATTTTATTGGCGTGTGCTATCAATGGTGGTGTTCAATAAATAAATAATGCATTCTGTTTGGTCTCCTTTCTTGGGAATGGGCATAGATATAGATCTCTTGCATTTGTTTGGCCAGGTCTTCCAAATTTCTTGGCAGACAAATGAGTATTTCCAGCATTAGTTTGTTGAAACAATCCAACTGGTTGGCGTCCCATCAATTCCTGAAGCCTTGCTTTTTTGCCAGGAAAAACTACCAGAACTAATATTTTCTAATTAGTGCTGCCCTTCATAGTAGGATCTGAGCTTATTTTAAGTGCTGGTAAGGTTTGCTCCTGATGTCTCTAGAATTCTCTAAGAGCTCATTCTTGAGTCGTGTTGGAAAATCTGTCTCCTTCCTCCAGACACATATTCTCACTTAGCCAATTCATCAGATTTCAGTCTGGGAGGGAGTACTGTGCGTTGGGCTGCCAACCACAAGAACAGCTGTTCAAATCCACCAGCTGCTCTAAGGGACAAAGATGAAGCTTTCTGCCCCAGTAAAAGGAAACCCTATAATGGGTTGCTATGAGTTAGAATCGACTCGACAGCACACAGGAGGTCTGGGCAACTTTAGGTTGTTTTTAAAAATCAGATCCATCCTCTGATTTTTTAGATGAGCATCTGCCCCAGGCTCTGGAGGAATGTGCCTAGAGAAAAGTGTTTATACAAATGTGAACAACGTCTGAGTATCAGAACAAGTGTCAGGGTTCTTAAGATCATCAAATGGAAGGACAACATTAACTTGCACGTAGTCGTTCTGTTACAATGAAAAATACTGTCAGATGGGTGATGGGGCAGGCAATATACAACCGGAGGGAGGTTGGCAGAGGAAGGAAGGGGGTGGCAGGAGAGGCAGGTAAGAATGCAGTGGTTGGAGAGAATAGAGGTAAATGCTGTTGGCTGTTGGTGCATGAAGGGGATTGCAACCATATAATGAAGCAAAGTAGATGATTTGCTGAATGTAAAACTGATGATCTGCTCTGTGAACCTTCACTTAATTCACAATAAAATACTTTTCAAAACAAAGAAGAAAGAAAAATATTGTCAGTAGCTTTTATAGAGTCTTATTTTATGAAAAAAATAAGTGTTTTGGGATTGGAGGGAGCAGAACTCAGTGGGGACCATAGGGGTTTTTCATGGAGGGATCTGTTTCCCCCAGTAGAATATAAGTACCACGAAGACAGGGACTTTGCCTTTCTAGTCCCTGATGAATCCCTGGTGCATAAAACAGAAATTGATACAGGTTAAGGCACCCCAAACCAATCAGTTGATGAATAAATAAAGAAGTTCTAACTACTTAAACTTCTTATATGTCTAAACGATAAAGAGGATATACTGATGTGTTTTAAACATACAGTGAAATCTGTAGAAGCCAGAACCTGTACAAGGTGAAAGCCTGTCAGAGAAGGAAAATGCAAATGTTTTGTACTAATAAAAATGACAGAGAAGTGATGAGACCGCACCCTGTCAAAAGCAGCAAAGTTGCAAGACCCAGAAGAATCAGGCAGGCCTGCCCAGTTCGGGCTCTTACAGGTTTCATTGCATGAGGTAAGGCAAGGCCAGGCTCTGGGAGCCTTAGAATTAGAAGCCTGACTAATCCTCTGACAATGGAGAGACATCTGCATT